GTGGTATAAAAAACAGGGCACGTTTTTGTGATAAAAGAAATGTTAGTTTTGCCATTCATACAGAAACTTCAATTTGGTTAATTAAGTCTTAGGCATAACATGATCCCTACCAGAATTACAGTGAGATACTGCACACTCTACTTCCTGTCCTGAGCATTTGGGTGTTGCTAGGCAACAGGTAGAAAGGTACCACATACCTTTCGTGTGGCACTGCCACATTTGAAAGAAAAGATACCACATAAACCAGGCTGAGAAGCTGGAAATCTTTTAGGAATAAAAGATACTGAATGAGTGTGGTGTGTGTGCGTGCATGCGTGTGCGTGCAGAAACGTCAGTTATTAGTATTCATCCAAAACTTGTTACAGAGCATTCAGAACTAATTTTCTTTAAAATATGTGCTTGCCAGACCCAGATTAAATGCATAATGTCTCAACCTTGCTATGAATACCCTACTTGTTTCAATTTTAAGCAGTGAATCTATTTTTTTTAGGAGAGAGAGGTTTATAAACAGCATTAACAGTAGATTATTCATATTCCCCTCTCCCCAGTTCATATCCCAAATCCCTGGGCAAGAGGGAGATAAACTATAGACCCCAAACCAAGTCATCTATAAGGAAAATGAATTCACTTGCCAGTGTCGCAATTAGCAGTAACTTTTTTTTCCCTGCTTTTTCTTCCCAAATCCCCCCGGTACATAGTTGTGTGTTCTAGTTGTGGGTCTTCTAGTTGTGGCATGTGGGACACCACCTCAGAGTGGCCTGATGAGCGGTACCATGTCCGTGCCCAGGATCCCATCCAGCAAAACCGCAGGCTACCGACACGGAGTGTGCCAGCTTAACCACTGGGCCATGGCGCCGGCCCTAGTAACTTTTTGTTTAAATCAAAGCTCTTGGAATTAGCTTTTTGATCAGGATTTTATCCCTAGTATGAAAATCAGAGTTTGGAAGCTGGGTGCTGGACTGCGTTTTCCAAATATGGCAGCACCAAGCTATCCCCTCCCAATGCTCCTCTAACAGTATGTTGTTGGCACTCCTCCATCAAGAGGTGGAGCCTATGTCCGGTTTCCTAGGCTATGGGTGGGCCAATAGCAGGACAGAAGGAATGCCATCTGACTTCCAAAGCTAAGTCAAGAAATATGATCAGCTTCTGCTGGGATCTCTTTCTTGGGACTGTGTCTTAGGATCCCTGAGCCAACTGAACAGTGCCAGCCAGTGTGAAGCCACCATGCTGGAAAGACCACGTGGGAGGCTCCATAGACATAGTAATCCCCGAGGAGCCCAGCTGTTCTAGCCTCCATCTGTTTGAGTCTTCTTTCCACCACCAACCTCTAGACACGAGAGAGCCAGCCTTCAAGCCAGCCCTACCTGATGCCCTCATGGAGCCCTGCCCCAACTGCAGAGTAGTGAGCAAAATAAGTAGTGTTGTCTTGAGCCACTGTTTTTTGGTGGTCTGAAATGCCAGCATTAGATAACTAGAACACTGGGATTTGGAGAAACTTTGTTACAGTTAAATACTAAGTTAATATACCCAGTTTAAAACTAAAACTAAAAATTACAGTTTTAGCATTCAAGCTAATTTAAAGGAGAAATCCACCTTGTCTTAAAGTGTTAACGTGCATGGACGTGTTGGTTGACTGGGTTCCTTACTAGGATTTCTGAAACCTAACCACAGTCTCATGTCCTAATTTCTTAATTCTGATAATCAATTTAATAGAACAAGGCAGAGGCTATAGTGGTCTTTCAGTTGTCTACTTCTCATGATTCTCTGGGTGAGGAACTGGGGTAGAGTTTGGCTGAGTAGTTCTGCTCCACGTGATTTGGTGGGGGTCATTCATTCAGCTGTGTTCAGCTTGTGGCTGGGCTGGCCTGGAAGGTCCACAAAGGCTTCCCTCACATGTCTGCTGCTCTTCCATGTGGCCTCTCTTTCTGTCCACGTGCTATGTCTCATCACTCAGAAATCTAGCCCAAGGTTCTTTAAAGCCTGGAGGCTAGCTCTCCAGAGGGGGAAGCAGAAGCTGCCAGACCTCTTAGGGCCTCAGCCTGAAAGTCCCAGAATGTCGCTTCTACTGCAACCAATAGATATTGGTCAAACAAAGTCATAAACGAGGTCAAGGGAGGGAAAAGAGACTCCACCTCTTGACAGATGGTGTGTCATGCACAGAACGGGAAGAAATTGATGGCTGTTCTGGAGACAAATGGGAAGAATAATTGGCTCTGAAGAGAGAGAGAGTGGTTCTAATCCTAGCTCTGCTACTAACTAGTTGTGTGGTGTTGGCCAAGTCACCTGTTAATGCTTAACCTGTTTGCTCACACGCCAAGTGAGGAGAATGAGCTGTGAGTTCCAAGATCCTGTCTAGTTCCAAAAATTGCCTCTAAGCAAAGCAGAACCTACGTTAGCCAAGAAGGTGGAGGGTGGGAGGGGATGTAAACAGAATTAATGAATTGCCCAATTGTTCTCTCCTGGGCTGTTGTTAACCCGTGTTTAACTTTTAGCTGTGAATTGGCTAACTATCCTTGTGACATCTCCCTAATCAATCATATGATCTCAGCTTTTGAGGCCTATTCTTCTATCTTCAGGACTTTGCTCGTTACAACCTACTACCCTCCCCTTCCTCCTCTTCCACCTCAAAATACTGTTCAGTTTTACAGCTAAGTCATTATCTTTTACAGGGAGCAGGAAATATTAGGGCTCCACAGGAAGTTGCAGTAGAGATCGTGGAACTAGGATTTGACAAAAGAATCTAGCCAATTGACTACCTCTATAAACACTGTGTCAAATAGTCTGCAACTGTTGCAAGATGAGACCTCCCCCTGACAACGTGAACTGAAATAGATAATTTGTGTTTAAAAATCTTCAACTATAGGTTTTATAATCTTGAAATATATAATTCTTTCAGCAATTCTTCTAAAAAACTTCATTTTAGGAAGACAATAAATTGACACAAGGACCCTCTGAAGTAGATCTTTGATCATTATTTGGTGAGGTTCAGTATATATAAGACCCATGGTAGATGCACAGGGTCTCTACCTTAAGGTGCTCATCATTCAGAAATTTTCTGGTGCCTTCTGATTTGTGGGCCTAAGTTAGACACAGCACTGTGCGAGCCCTTACTGATTGTATCTGCTCCAGGAATTTCAGCAACAGCCCTCAGATTCAGGCAGAGTCCTGTGTACTTACCCAGTTACTCCTTTACCATAGTCTTTGATTTTCAATTTGGGGGTGGGGTGGAGACACTCAAACAATGTGCACTGAGATCTACTCGACCCCAGGTTATCTTTCAGACACTAAACTATCATCCCCTCCCTATGTCCTTGTTACTTTATTGCCAGAACTCTCAGACCCTGTTTAACCAAAAGGACTCCTCACATGAAGAAAGGGTAATGTTTTTTGGTCACCATAAGCAATATATAAATCCTCATGCTCAAGAATGTAACCTATCATTACTATTAGAACATAGAATAATCTAGATCTGCCACCCACTCTACTTTTTGTCTTCATTCTTTCTCTAAGCTCTTGCTGTCATCTCCCCTAGCCAGGATCTTCTTATCCTCCTTTCCTGAATACCCTACACTGTCCTCCCCTTCCTGCCCCATACTCTATTTCCAGTGCTTCTATTCTGTCCAAACTTCAATTTAGGCCAAATAAGTCTAAATGCAGGAAAGATATTCTTTCAAACGTTATGAAGAAAGATGTGATGAAAATCAATCGGTCAATTGTTACTGAGTTCTAAAATCTTTGGCACAGAGGGTGGCAAAGAGGAACCAGAACTTCAAGGTGTCAAATCAGTAAAGCATTTTTGTTATTTGTTCACTTCTCATGTTCCTTAATCCTTCTGCCATCCTCTTTACAACCTTCCGACAATAATCTTCAGTAAAACTACCCACTCTAAGGGCAGGTAGAAAGAAAACCAGGAGTAGCAGCAATTCTTTACTAACAAAAAATGAAATTCGGGGGTAGAGTGGTAGATCTGGAACTACTTCCTGATGGTGTTTGCACCCAGGTATTAACGTAAAGAACTGTCCATAGGAACTCATAATCAAGCACAACTATATGCTGCCAAAGGTGACAGATGTGGGACATACGTTCAGCCAAGTCCTGTATCAGGAATGCCCCGTCTTACCACAGGCCATCATGACAGCTTCTAAGTGGTGTTAAAAACAAAAACAAAAAACTTCCTGTTCTCAAGAAACATGTGGCTTAACTGAGGGACCCAGGGCACAAGAATTTACACAACTGACATAAGGTACATATTGTTGGTCTTGAATATAGTAACGCAGTCTAGATAGAGCCTTATCTTTTCTTCACAAAAACCATCCACAAGAAAGCTGCACAAGAATACCTGTAACTCAGTTCATGGAAGAAGTCTAAGAGTCACTCAAGTTCTAAGCGCCCAGGACTAGTCTCCAGAACAGGCCACTGGCCAGGTGGGTGCCCTCGGATGCGACGATCTCTCTGAGCCTGCTACTGGAAGATGAGAGACCTCGTCCACGGCAGTGCTCAAGAGATGATCATCACTGCAGCATGCGCAGCCACTCCGAGGGAGTTGCTGAAGTCCCTGGTAGAGCAGAGTTAGTGAGGGTGATTTGCAGTTAGCCATAAAATGGGAAAATCTAGACCACTTCTTTCTGACTTCCCCCGACAACGCCAAAAGGGAAGTGTGTGCAACCCGTGACACCCACTTCCTTCCTTTTCCGGGGAAACGCCCCCTCCCCCATCGAGGCCTGTCCCGACACTCCTCCTCCCCCGCCACCCCCTGGAGCTTGCAGCCTCAGCTGCCTCAAACGTCTTCCGACCACTGCCAAACCCTACCGCGCGCTCGCGCACACAGCACGCGGCAAAACAGGCGACGCCAGCGGGGCGGGGAAGCGCACGCGCGAGCTGAGGCTCCGGCGCTCCCTCGAGGGGGCGGGGCACCAGGGGGCGTGGCGAGCGCGAGGCCCCACCTTGCCATTGGCTGCAGCCGGGTCCTCTAGAGGTCCACGTGAGCCGCCGGCCCACCGGCCGCCGGGCCCCCCGCGCAGGCGCACAGCGGGGCTGAGGCGAGGGCGGAGATGGCGAAGAGGTGAAGGCGGGGGAGGGAGTGCCTGGGAACAGGCAGCAGATGCCTGGCGAGGTGCCTTGCAGCTGGCGGCGGGTGGGGCCCGCCGGGCGGGCCGCCGCTTTCCCCTGTCGACGAAGGCTGCTGACGGGAAAACGACCCGGGAGGGAAGCGCCCCGGCCAGGCCCCCTCCCCTGAAAGTCTGCGGGAGCCGAGGGCCAGGTAGCCAGGCAATGTTACAAAGGGACGTTGAGAATCCCAAAGACCAACCTTCTCCAAAGACCCGAGACCCCTCTCTGCCCACTGCCGGTTCTCTGACCTCTGGCAAGTCACTTAGCCCGGCCCTCAGTTTCCCCACTCTTCTAGAGGGCTTGCGGCCGGCCGGAGAATGGCCAAGAAGAAAAGAGTTCACATCCCAATCACTGCTTGCCTAGTGAGTATTTAGAGCACCTAAGTCACGACCTTGCCCTGAGGGAGCCGCGTGTCTAGTGCGGGCATGGTGCAAGACGAAATTTCTAGGTGGTGTAGTGCCAGGGCTCCGGCATGGGCCCGCCTAGTAGCCTGGCCGCACTGCCTGTGTGAACTTGGGCCTCAGTTTCCTCGTTAGGGCGTGGAACGTGCTTCAAAGGTGGTGAAAAGAGGGTGTGCAGTGCTGAGCGTCGTCGCTGGCACATAGTGGCTCCTGACACTGGTTACAGGCTTCAGGCAGCGCAGCGGGCGTCTCTGTGGAGTTGTTCATTCCAGAGCAGCCGGGATGGCTGGGGGAATGCGAGCACGCCAGCAGGACGGAGGTGGATTTCCACTCTGTCGTCTAGCCAGGGAGAAGGAATGCAATTATTAATTGAGTAAGCTCACTCCCATTTACCCCTGCCTTAGAAAAGGCTTCCTCAGCCTTACTTTCCCCACCTCTCTAGTTGGTAGTGTTTTAGAAAGGGCGAAGGAAACGTTTCATTGATTTTTCTGAATTCACTCTTACATTTACTCCTGTTCTGATGATCAAGAAGGAAATGTGATTGATCTGCATTTGGGGCAGTTATTAGCGGACTGGAATAATTTGGGATAAAATTGTCAGTACTTAACAGAGCTGGCAAAATCAAATGTTCCTCAACTGTTTCTGTGGCTCCGTGTTAAAAGGCTGAAGAACATTAGTGTTCTGTGCTATATTACCTTTTTTTTTTTTTTTTGTCTCAATAATACCCTTGCCTCCGTTGTCTCTAGGGTGGTCCTTAAAGTGTATTATTTATTACTGTTTTTGTAGACAGGCATTTTTTACTTTAATCTCACCTCTTCCTACCGGTAACCACTTTTAAGACCCTGTTGCTACAAGAGTTCAGGGAAAATCCATTTGTAATATTATTTAGAGAAGGATGACCACACCCTGACTTCTACAGAGTGTTGAGTAAATCCAACTACTGTTCTTTCCGGAGAAAACCTGCAGCTGAAACTGAGATTAGGATAAAGAAACGCAGCTGGATTTTGCCTGGGTGCCAGGGATAGCTTCTGTTTATGGTCTGTTTATTAGACAACGTGCTTTGCCAGAATGTGACTAGCTTTTAGTAAGCCTCCCTTACTACCTACGACTGCACACAGTATGTGATGCCTTGCGTCTAAAATATATACAAATTCCTGATTGATCCTGACCCCCTGGCGTAACTGACAGGTACTCGCTAACGTCAGTAGTCTGCCCACACGTAGCTCCTTGTTGGAAAAAGTAGCCGTTTGATTAATGTTATCTATGAGTAATAATGTTAAAATATTGAAAGCATATGAGAGATTCCAAGGTTTGACTTTTTTGTTTGCTTTCAGTTTGTCATTTCAGTATTTTAAACAGCTGTGGCAGAGTTTACCCACTAATGTTCCAATTTCTTGACATTGGCTGAAAGAGCTAATGGTCCTTGGTCTCACTATTTCAGTTCAATATACATTATTTAAGAGAAAGTATAATATGCTGAATAACAAACATAATAAACACTTGTTGAGAATGACCATTTATATTTAATATTTGTATATATCATTTATTTGCATTATTTCACTTCACCATATTGGACACTGGGGAATAAAACAGTGTTTATTATATGTTCTTCCACCGCAGGAAATTTATGACATTGTTTTCTTTTTTTTTAAGACAAAAGAATCTTCCTCAAAAGTTATGCCTTTTAATTGTGATCAAATTCCTGCATATTTATAATGTTTTATTGAGAAATACCGGTTTCTTTAACATTTTTGTTGGTTTTTTTCCTTTGTTTCAAATGAAATAACTAAATCTTACAGTGTTAGTGTGGCCCTTAGCCGAAACTGATAATTTCTTACTTTAATAAAGAGATCAAGAATTTTAATCTGTCACATAGCCAGTAGTTAAGAATCTGCTCATAACATTGATATTGGATGATGAGGGTTTTAAAACAAGGGTTTTAGACTTAAGGAAAGGAAAGGTAAATTTGTGTTTCTCTTGTGCTTCATTAAAATAAATTTGAAAATGTAGGAAATTAGTATTAGTAGAGAGCACTGATGGATAAAAATAAGCCATTAGACTTGGGCACCATGGATTGTGAATGATACATATATGTATATGTATAATGATACACATATGTATATAATGATATACATGTAAATGTACCGTTATTTGATTTACAAACTGCTTTCACTTTATCTCCTCTCATCTAGTTCTCTTATACCACTTTGATATAGGTATTGCTTAACCCGTTTAAAAGATGAAGAAAAAATTTCAGAAAAGGTGAAGGGAAATTGCTCATGGTCTTCTGAGTCTAAGCCCTATAATTCTTGCACAATAATAAAAAGACATGGTGGGCACTGAATATTTTTGACTGAGTCCATGGACAGTGCCGTCAGTATACCTAAATTATAATTATTCCTCTGCCATTGACTCCTCTGCATTGATTTATACCTGTTTCTATTAATAAAATAAGGATTTCTGAATTTGACAGTAACAGGAATAGAGTGATGACCCAGATGTAAAGCAGCCCCAGCTCCCACGGAAGTTACAATTTAGAGGGAGATACAGAAAGCAAAATAATTTTAGTATGTTAAGTGCTAAAATGATAAAGAGCACATAACCCTGATTAGAGTGTCATGTAAAGACTCCCAGGAAAAGGGTACCTTAATTGAGACCTGAAGGATAAGTACATGTCAGTGAAGGCAGAAGGAGATCGACTTTCTGAGTAAAGGAACAGCAAGTGAAAAGACATGATGCAAATAAGAGCATCCATTGTTCCAGGACCTGGAGGGTACAATGTTAATTATTATAGATTTATGTGTGTGTTGGGGGCAATGGCTTTGGTGAAGGAAGAAGTTGTGAGAGAGGAGGATAGATAAGGAAGGAGTCAAAGGACTTTGAGTCTGTGAATGAAGGTTTTAGAGAGTAGGGTAAGAAAATGCTGGGAGCTTCAAGACTGCAGGTAGGGGGAACAACCTTTAAGAGACCATTGCAGAAGTCCAGGTGAGAGATGATGGTTGCCTGGAAAAGAGTAGTCACATTGCAGATAAGATGAGGAAGGAAAAGGGAAGAAATTTGAAAAAATATGTATGAGTAGAATTAATGGGGTTTTGTGATAGGTTGGATGAAGGGAGAAGAGAGAGTAATGCTTGGGTTTCTGTTTGGCGATTGGGAGGAGAGTACTGCTACTCACTGAGAGAAGGGATATAAAACGGGAACAAATTTGAGAGGAAGAATGTGAAGGGCAAGATAAAGATTCAGTTTTAGACCTGTTGAGTCTAAATATCAAACTCAAGATGTTAAGTAGAGTAGTAGCTTAGCAGGTCTGATGATGACTTGAGAGATTTGAGTTGACGCCAGAGATTTGGGAATCACCAGGGGGATGATATTTGCTTTCAGTTATCTCATTAGGATTGAGAGAATATTAGAAATACGAAGTACACTTCAAGCTCTTTTTTCTTAATTGAGTTCATAATAGTTTACATCATTCTGAAATTTTGGTTGTACATTATTTATTGTCCATCACCATATATGTGCGCCCCTTCACCCCCATGCCCACACCTCACCCTCCTTCCCCTGGTAACCACTGAACTGTTTTCTTTGTCCATGCGCTTGTTTATATTCCACATATGAGTGAAATCATCTGGTGTTTGTCTTTCTCAGTCTGGCTTATTTTGCTAAGGATAATACCCTCCAGGTCCATCCATGTTGTTGTGAATGAGATGATTTTGTCTTTTTTTATGGCTGAGTAATATTTCATTGTATATCTACACCACATCTTCTTTATCCAATCATCAGTCAGTGGTTACTTGGGTTGTTTCCATGTCTTGGCTATTGTGAATAGTGCTGCAATGAACGTAGGGGTGCATATGTTACTTTGGATTGTTGATTTCAAGTTGTTTGGGTAGATACCCAGTAGTTGGCTAGCTGGGTCATATGGTATTTCTATTTTTAGTTTTTTGAGGAAACTCCATACTGTTTTCCATAGCGGCTGCACCAGTTTGCATTCCCACCAGCAGTGTAAGGGGGCTTCCTTTTCTCCACATCCTCCCCAGCATTTGTTACTTTTAGTCTTAGTGATTATAGCCATTTTAACGGGTGTTAGGTGATATCTTAGTGTAGTTTTGATTTGCATTTCCCTGATGATTAGTGATGTTGAACATCTTTTCACATGCTTATTTGCCATCTGTATATCTTCTTTGGAAAAATGTCTGTTCATATCCTCTGCCCACTTTTTGATGGGGCTGTTTGTTTTTTTGTGGTTCAACTGTGTAAGTTCCTTATATATAATGGAGATTAACCCCTTGTCGGATGTATGATTTGCAAATATTTTCTCCTAATTGGTGGGTTATCTTTTTGTTTTGATCCTAGTTTCTTTTGGCTTCCAGAAGCTCTTTAGTCTGATGAAGTCTTACTTGTTTATTTTTTCTTTTGTTTCCCTTGTCGAAGTAGACATGGTATTTGAAAAGATCTTTTTTAGTTCGATATCAAAGAGTGTACTACCTATATTATCTTCCAGGAGTTTTATGGTTTCAGGACTTATCTTCAAGTCTTTGATCCACTTTGAGTTTATTTTTGTGTAAGGCATGAGATAATGGTCCACTGTCATTCTTTTGCAAGTGGTTGTCCAGATTTCCCAACACCATTTACTGAGGAGACTATCTTTTCTCCATTGTATGTTCTTGGCATCTTTGTCGAGGATTAGCTGTCTGTAGATGCGCGGTTTTATTTCTGGACTTTCCGTTCTGTTCCATTGATCTGTGTGCCTGTTTTTGTATAAGTACCATGCTGTTTTGGTCACTATGGCTTTGTAGTACATTTTGAAGTCAGGGATTGTGATGCCTCCAGCTTTGTTCGTTTTTCTCAGGATTGCTTTAGCAATTCGGGGTCTTTGGTTGCCCCATGTGAATTTTAGGATTCTTTGTTCTATTTCTGTGAAGAATGTCATTGGGATCTGATTGGGGTCGCATTGAATCTGT